CATTGTAAAATGTTAGAGATGTATAGTTCAGTACTCTTTAGTTTTGTTGAAGTACATTTTAGCAGTAAATGCATTTGAAAAGCACATACTTTTTCGTGTATTCTGGCCAAAATAATTATTAAAGTATTTTTGTTTCTTTGTTTTTTTAAAAACCTTGCCCCACACTAGGTTTTTCTCCTGTGTCGTGGGTGCGGTTACAAAGATACAAGTTCACATACGCGTGACACCCAGACCCGGAACAACAATCTGTGCACAAAAAGTTGTTCCGTCCGGGAATCGAATCCGCGACACGTTACTCGGCAGCCAATTGTCCAGCCACCTAGCCAACCGTGGCGTCACAAAATTGTTTTGTTGTTAAACCAAAAATGTGTTCGTGGAATATTTGATTTTTATTTCAAGAGCAATAAATAAATGGTGAATGGTGCGATTCAAATGAGAGCTGTAAGGAACACACGTAGTAAGATAGGTCTTGTTTAACAGGCAAAAGATAATCAGTATTCTAATTAACGATCTTATTATTTGATGTTAGATAATTAAGTAAACATTATATACATTACCCGACGAAAACATTCCGAGAGACTTTGCGATGCGATCTTAATTCCTTTGCAGTTGATGTACCAGAGAGCGCAGTTCATGTTGATCATAGTAATGATATGATAATATGCTGACGTATGTCTCAGGAGGAATCCGTCCATTAGTATACAGAGACTGAGCAGGAAACAGACGGCAAGCAACAAACAGCCCACGCTAATGATGACGATTGTTGTCTTCAAGTTAGGAAATTGAAGGTTTTCGCCAGTAACGCGGTAGTATCTGACCTGTAAATACATGGAGTATTATTGTACATATGTGTGGTTATTGATGCCTTTATTACATAACACTTTTAAAGAGGTTTTACCTATTCTAGATAATTTTTTAGTATATCTATTTGAACGACTGTTAGGGTTTAGTTGATGAGTCGCTAACTACTGCAGTCTTAAAGTCGATCCTAAAGTCCGGTTCAAAATAATTATGTACCTAGCTTAGAATAAGATGCTGATACCTATTCTTTAAGTGTGGGAGAGCCATACTTCGGCACGAATGGGTCGGCTCGACCGGAGTGATACCACAGCCTCACAGAAAACCGACGTGAAGCAACGCTTGCGTTGTGTTTATCGGAGGTCCAATTACCCACCCCTTCCCCAATCTCCCCAATTCCTGAATCCCCAACGATCCTCAAACTCCTAATCCCCAAAAGGCCGGTAACGCACCTGTAACGCCTCTGGTGTTCCAGGTGTCCTTGGGCGACGCCGATTGCTTACCATCAGGTGATCCGTCTGCACATTTACCGGCTTATGCCATAAAAAAAAACTTTGTTACAGAGAACGATAGCAATATCGTTAACTTATGATTTCAGACAACCTATTCAGCCACGTGTTTTGCGTAATACATAGTCATAAGTATACACTTAAGTACCTGAAATTTCCCCCAATTAGTTTTGTAAATAGCGACTTGATGAGCCACGCCCCAACCCACGAATGGTATCCAGAAATGCGGAACGAGGAAAATGACGAAAAGAATGGCATAAATATAGTCGTCGAAGCGTCGAATTGATCGGAGTATCATTATCCGCTCATATCCCACGATTAGAACAACGGCTGTGGCAGCGATGTAGAAACATACCGCATACATTGTGGCTCTGGATTTCCAGCTAAATGTGATCGTGCCTGAAATAAGAATTAAGTTACCAACGTAATAAAATACGATCATATGAAAAATATATCTCATTATCAACAGCCTATAAATGCCCACTGCTGAGCAAAGCCTCTTCTCACACGGAGAAGGTTTGAGCATTAATCAGCACGCTTGCTCAATGCGGGTTGGCGATTACAAACTTATAATTAGAATTTATAAGCCCAGGTTTCCTCACAATGTTTGCCTTCACTGTTTGTTAGTGGTGTCTAGATAATTTTAGAAAGTACATATAACTTAGAAAAAGTCACATTGGTACTTGCCGTTGATAGGTTTCGAACACGCACCCACATACATGAGAAGCGGGCGTCTTACCTCCGGGCCACCACGACAGTAGTAGTAGAAAAATATAGGTATCTCACAAGTTGATATTAGATTAGAAAGGCATAAGTCACAGAATTTTATTTTTGTATATATTTCTAAAATTATAAGTAGTAGGTACTCGTGCTCCAAGCTTACTAAGAATTTACTTGCTTAAAATCGACCAGTCCATAATGTTTTACGACCGACGATATAATCGACCAATACAGCACTTCTTTGAAATCAGATTAAATGAAATCACTACAAAGTATAAAACAAAGTCGCTATCCGACGTCTGTCTGTCCGTATGCTTAAGATCTTTAAAACTACGTAACGGATTTTGATGCGGTTTTTTTAAATAGACAGTGATTCTTAAGGAAGGTTTATATGTATAATACATGAATATTGAACCCGTGCGAAGCAGGGCGGGTCGCTAGCTATTAATAAAAAGTACTTCTAACCTGGCCGAGAGCGTGTGATGGGCATGACTGCAAGCGCTCGAAACAACACGAGTAAAAGTTTATGGTCCCTGTAGAACTGATCGTGGATCTCACATGTGTCTCCATCTTGAGACGATAACAGATCTCGTTGTTCTTGCTCCTAATATATTAGTTTTATAATTAATTACCTATACATTATAGATATGTTACCTCAGCTACTGCATAAGGTAAAAGGAGTCTTTATGCAGTACACAATGCAGTATACAATACAATATACATTATTACATAAGGTAAAGAGAGTGAGCTGCGCGACGTCTCCGCGACCGCGCACGCTGCTCATCAGGAAGAACCCCTCTGTGGTTCGAAACTAGTAGAGCTTTTCTCAGTTATTATAAAAAAATAAAGGAATTCTCATGTGGATACAATAGTTTGAGCTTGCTTAGTCATACACTGGACAAGATTCCAGGTTCCATGTAATCTAATTGCCGGAGCGTAATAAAAATAGGTACTCACATAATCTCGCTGTGTTTTTTCATACACTGTTTTATTTTGCTGTATATGCCTCATGTCATTATGAAACAGGGTGTTATTTATTCCTTCATCAAACAGATGGTCTGGAATCGTCATGTTTACGAATTACAACTAAAAGCAACTGTCATTCACCGTATTCTTTGGTAAACTGCGAAGTGAAATTACCATTATCCAGTTTCTAGTGACATTATCGAAATGGTAAACAACGTGAGTCAATTTAATTAAATTTTAAAGTAAATTATCGTCGCCCCTGCATATCAATGACGCGGTCAAGTCGTCATGCCTACCTGACTAATGCTTGCCAGTTACTTACCACTAAACACCACCCTGTGTTTACCTCCCAAGGTCTTTCGTAAAATATTCATTAAAGACTTTTAAATTGTTTTTATGTCGTGGATAACTTTTCACTTGACCGTATTTTGTACGACTACATAGTTGATAATAGGTACACAAATTATACACATAACATAACATAATAATATCACGCCTTTTATCCCCGAAGGGGTAGGCAGAGGTGAACATTACGGCACTTAATGCCACTGTACAATGTAACATCCACTTTTCACTATTTATGTTATGAGTCCCATGTAATAGGGGGTGAGCCTATTGCCATATACCGGGCACATTTCCAGACTCCGTGCTACTACTGAGGTTTTTACAAACCCAGTAATGCTTTGCCCGACCTGGGAATTGAACCCGAGACCCCTTGCCCGGCAGTCGCACTTGCGACCACTCGGTCAATGAGGCAGCAAATTATACACAATAGGAAAAAAGTAACTAGGGACTTGAAATTGCAAATTATAAGTTTTAATTTAAATGGCTTATCATTCAGATCGTTTAGGGTAAAATATACAAATTCTACAGAAGGACATACCTTTTGTATAAATAGTAGGTAGATGTATATATATAGTAATAAATCCATTTTTACCTTGGTCACGGCATCATGCGTAAATGGATGGACCCATTTCACTATTATTTCTTTTTTTAACCGACTTCAAAAAAAGGAGGAGGTTCTCAATTCGACCGTATATATTATTATGCTTTTTTGTATTTGTTATTATTAGGAGAAGGTTCTTAAGTCAGAAAAAATCCTGAAAATCCTACAGGAACTGGAGCAAACGGGATTGCGCGTACGAAGTCGCGAGCAGAAGTTAGTATTAAATAAAAATGCATATAAAGTTCACCCGTAGCGTATAATATAAAAATATCACAGTTAGTAAACTATTTTCACATTATACTCTCGTAAGTTAACAAACGAATATTAACAGTAACAGCCATTTTATACATATTAGACGTGTTCTTATTTCAAATTTAAGTATAGAAAAAAAAACGAAGAGGGCGGGATCATTTTGTTATACTAATCATACATTTAAAGCAGCTTGAATGTATTTTTTTAAAACACCGACAGCTTTTATTAAATGCAAATTAGGTATTTTTAACATCTACAAAATAACAAATTGTACCTATAACGTGTAAACGCTCCAACAAACTATATACGTTCATATAAGCTTTCGAGGTTGCCAGCATGAAAAATGTAATTTACAAAATGGCGGCATGTCTGGTGTAAGCAGCCAAAATTCGGCGGTGTGCTATCGACATAGTATGAAGGAGCCATGACGTTATAAACACAGCTACAATGTGCAAATACCGCAAATTCATAATAATAATAATAATATTGATTTAAATACAGATGCACGATTGAGAAATTAATATAAATAATCATAATAAAAAAAGAAATTACCTAGGTACAATATTACTTACACAATGGCCTTTTAAAAATACGTACATATTTACGTACGTACGCATTTTAATCTTTTGTAATTTGCTCTAAATATTAACTTTCATATTTCATTATTAATTGTTGTATTCAGTCTATTGTCGAGATTTATACAAAGTTACCATAATTAAAATAACGGAACATATTTTCAAATAGATAAATAATAACAGCTTATTTATTTGCTTTAAACATTAAATTAAACATGATTCATTGTAAAAAATAATAAATTCACAAATAGAGATTATATTTTATGTGCGCGCCTTATTTTATTTACTTTTAACAAATAATAATATTCTAAGACTTAAGCTTAGCTAGCTGTTCCATAAGTTCTTTATCGGCGTCTTTGGTAGATTCTCCAAGTTTGTTGCGAGCCACCGATGGGGCACCAGCCATCTGTAAAAATAGAAAAAATAGGTTAATATTAGGGCTTGTTTACTTGATCAAGTCTATGTCATCCAATAACCTAAATTCTATATTCAAAAACTACCTATATCATCTGTGTCATGGCATGGGAAACTACTAAAACTAAGGTTTAAACTTTGAATGAACAGCATACACTCATACATTGAAGGTCACATTACAACGCCGCACGGTACAAATATTTGTGCGGCCGGTGATATTATCCCGATCCGTCCTTGTTTATCCGTGACCATGAGTAAAGGTTTATTTGTTTAATTTACCTATCGCTACGTTAAGTAAACGAGGTTTTACGATGCAGAGTTAAATGGATGAACCAGTAGGTACAATAGAATAAAGTGGTCATATGAAAATATATGATCACATTACAATAAAGATGTTTTAACTAAAAATCTTTTAATGATTTTTTTTTAATCGGCTGACGTCAAAACGGGGTTTTAAGTCTCACTAGCGCCAATAGGGGTAGGTGCCAGTAGGTAGATTATTTTAAATCATTAGATATGTATTTTTTATTTTCTTACAGAAACAAATACTTTCGACGGTATATTGATTTGAAATGTCACGTGACGTCACTTATATGTACATTTTATACGTAAAAATGATGTTTTAGCCCCCACTCCTTAACTTTGATTCGTTTTATCTAAGTATTGTTTTACTCGGTTGCCAAAGAAAAAAAAAAGTATTGTTTTAATATACAACTAAATAAAAAAATATGTGTCTAATATTTTTTAATTACCTAACTTACGGACTATGACTAATTAGATTTTTAATTTTTATACCCTGTCATTATCCCAATTGGTGAGTTATTCGAGAATAGATTTTAGGCATTGATTTATTTTGTCTCTAAAATGTAGACAAAAGCGTTCTTATTGATTTGATGATTTTTTTTTTTTAAATATAGAGCAGGCATTTCAGATTTCCCTTGACGGGTCTCACACTTACAAAAATAGGAACATATTTACCTTTCCACTGATTTCGATGCCGATTTCATCGAGCACCTTGTTGACAATGCCTTCAGTCTCTTCCTCGTCGCCAGATTCGTCCATGATGTCATCAAGAGTGTCTGCAACTATAGTAAAAAGATTGATCAGTGTTACAAATCCATATAAGGTTAAGGGGCATTTGAAATGTGTATCTTATATCGGAGCCTATAAGACCCATTCAATAATGTTGTAATTAAAACTGTGACTATAAGGACCATGCTACCTGAACAAATACTTACTCATTTCATCTGTCATATCCATCTTAGCATTAGCTTGTCTAAACGCTTCCATGTCTTTAGCAATTTGTTGTGGATTCATGACCTTATTCATGCTATCCATGGTTTTAGCGGTGGTACCCATCGCGCCTGCAATCGCTATATTTGCTCCCATCGTCTTATTTTGTATCTGTACACTTGAAATCTGAAATTAAAGAAAGTTTATTAAACTTACAAGAGATATGTACCTAAGTATAGTATAGTATGTATTAGAAGTTGCATAATGTGCACCTCTGCCTACGCCTTCGGGGAAAAACAAAGTAGTTATTTAAAACACATAAAAAAAATTTCATCTGCACGTCTCAAACTGCCCCAAAGTAGCTATTGAGCAGTAACATTTGCTTTCTAATAAAGTAATAATTAAAATAAAACCTCACATTGTGAAATCGCAATCCCATGTTGGTATGTTTTTTTAAATATATTATTTTTTTTTTAATATAATATTACTTTAAACCATTACATGTCACTTTTATTATGACCATTGTCTAGATTATCTTATGATATTTTGTGACTTATTGTCCTTACCTTACTATTAGCACTATAAATCCTAGCTTTCTGTTTCCTCATCTGCACCAGTTGTTTTGCTAATATTTTACAACCTTCATTGTTGCCTTCTTTAGCCATTTTCTTAATCTCATTTTCCTGAAAACAAAAAAATTAAAAAAATTAGATACATAGGCAATAACTCTAAGATGGCAAGTATCTTGTCATCTAGACTAACTATGAAAACCCAGTACACAAGTTAATCATTATAATCGGTTGGACATTGTTTACTATTAACTCGTCGAGTACCAGTTTTGTAGACACAATTATAGAACAATAGGTTGCAGTCACCGGGGACCGCTTGGTGTTTGACAGTTTAAGACTGTGATTGTGACTAAAACATCATGTTTAAGAACAGACTAGATAGACAGATTATTCTCAATCTTGGTCAGTAGTTTACGGAAGTCAGTTAGGTCACTGTGCCATTACTCGTTGGCTGGTTGTAGTATCCAGAACCCTCATTTAGAGATTCATTCAAAGACCATGTAGATTGTACTTTGAAGTATATTATGAGATATTGTATAATTCAAGTAAATACATACAAGTTTCTTCTCTTCTCTTTCTAAAGCCGCTTTGTCTCTTTCCAAGTCTCTAGCTGCCTTGCGGAGCTCTCTATCATTTTGCCTTTGTTGTTCTGTAAGAGAAAGTATAGGTATGAAGCATTGTTACTCATAGATGTGTGACTCATAGACTAGTGTGTTATCAGTTTGTTTATTTTCATAATGTTTGATTTGAACGAGGTTTTAGGCATGGAGGAGTATGTTTAAAACATTGCTATTGTAATGTATTATCTAAAATATAATACATTTCATAGTTTGGTGAAGACTGTAACTGTCTGCCATAATAGTAGCATTACATTTGCTTTTTCTTAAATACTTGGGAATGTAAATTATCAAGCCAGTTGTGCTACACTTTAAAAAGAAGTAAGAACGCAATTGTAACCTGTGCTTTTAAAAATAGTATTACTCATCGCCTATAATATATTCGTCTAGCCACCAAGATGCGACCTTGTAGTAATACTGTGATAATCAAATAGTATCACAATGCCATCTTGCAAATAGTTATTTGGTCTTGTTTCTAAAGCTAGTCTATTTTAGTTCTATCAACTCATTGGCTCACTTAGATTAAATTCTTGTGCTTAAATCTGTGCTAATTATTTTTCTTAGTAATCGAATTTCTTGAATAATCTTGCAGATCAAAACTTTATGATACGCGTTAAGGAAAGATGTTGACTAAAATTTTTGTTAACATACCTTTGACAGTTGGTTGTTTCCCAAAGAAAAAATCCATTGTAAAATGTGTAAATTACGAACACTAATTCAAAATTATAACTACCAATTCTCAAAAATTACGAAATACAATATCAAAACAAACTGATGACAAATAAATTGACAATCATATGACTCATAGTAGACTTGACAGTTCTCATTGGTGTTCCCAAGTACAAAAATCTGTTTCAATAAGAATAAAATCGAGTTCTTATTCGATTTCTGACCATGAAATCAGGACGATTGATATATTTATAAGATTTCAGAATTGTACTGTGAAGTAGTATTTAAATAATTCAATCATGGCTAACAATAAACGAAAAGGTACCCCAGTTCCCAATTCTATTTTTACTGTTAAATATAATTTAACACCTTCTAATAGTCTACCAAGTAGGTACAAAGACATCTTCTCTCCACACGTGCGTAGAAGTAGGCATTTACTGCGTATACCACACATAACATGGATAATATCGAATGAAAATAAATACTAAAACCTATTTGGAATATTACCTCTGGGATTAAAGTTCATGATTGAGTTCTTCTTTGGAATTTGTTTGTGGATAAGTACCTAACTTCTTTCTTGTTATTTATTACAAATAAGGAAAGGTCAGCTATTTTAAAGAAACTGTTAGTAAATTGCTTCAGAAAAGCTGCCTTTTTAAAAGTAACAGATTTTGAATGACGGCAATGTCAGACATTTTTGTAGGTGATCCACAGATTGTATTAACCGTGCAAAAATCTAACAAGCAGGTTCATTTACTTTCCCTATAACATATAGTGCCACGGGGTATCCTTGGTTTATTCTAATAAGTAGGTAATGTAAAGTATACATTAACATGATGTAAATAATTCCTCCCCCCCCCCTCTCAAACTTCAATTGAAGAATTAAGGAAAGAGCACATTATTTACTTATAAATTACGATGATAATAAATAAGAAAATAATCGTAGGAATATTATGTTGGAAATATTTATTTTCGAGAGCAAAATCAAATGTATAAGTCACTTCATTTTTATTAAAATCACAATAAATAGGCACATGGAACATTTTAAGTCACAGCTTGATGCTTCACAAAGTCAGTAAGTAGCTGTAAAAATAATTTATAAAAATATAAATATTCTATAAGTACATCGATAAAGTACAGAGCCATTGTGTGAATTCATCAAATAATATAATTCCTAATAAAAAAAATGGTCGAAATGATAAAATGATTTGGACATGATTTTGTAGACAAATTGGTACATTTCATTCATTAAAATCAAGAAGATAGATCGATACTTAAACATAGTTATTTCTCCTAACAAATCACGACAGTCCTTGTGGTTACCAAAGTTCTGATCTAAACACAGAAACAGTAACTAAACACTTATAAGACGAATATACAAACGAACATAAACGGAACGAACATAAATCCAATAAATAATCTTAACATAAACATTGAATTACATTTACCTACGAACAGAATTTGCTATAAGCGTTTGATTCAAGTCTATACGGAATGGCGTCGAATCAATAAAAGATCAAAATATCGCTTTTGTCTAAATTAAAAGAGGAGTGCTAATATTTTAGTCCCAATTTTCTTATTTGCTAGTTGGAAGTGATGAACTCAGGGCTTAAAATTAAATTAAAACAAATTATTATGAAAGACGATATGACAGATTGACTTGGAGATTCACCACGTCCATTTAGGCGAATATAGGCTAAATGCCCACCTGTCAGGTAGACCGTTATGTGTGTCATTTTTGAATTCACTTTCTGACCAGTCAAAAGGTTTTATCAGGTCTTTGTTCAGAAGTTCCAGTTTATCTTCAGCTGCTTTCTCCTGTTCATGTATCACCAAGTCCCTTATTTCAATTCCACTCATGTTACTCTTGTTGTTAATCAGTTCTGTGTAGATTGGTGCAACGTTTCCTTTGTTTATTAATGTTTTAGTTGCGTTTGGTTGGATTTCTGTGTATGGTGGTCCGGATATCGCGAAAAAGTCCAAGTTGGTCTCATTTAGGGCTCCTGTGAACAAAACATAAAAACTGTTAGGTACCTAATATTCAATCTTGCTTTTTTCTAACGCACATATTGATAAAAGGAACTCACCACTGACGACTTTAGTGTCGATAACTCCGTAAGGTTCTGAGTAATGTTTGGTGATGTCTCCTCTAACTCCTACGACCGACCAGTATCCTTCCTCGCGAAGTATACAGTCAACATCATCAACATCTTCACAATCATCAATATCATCAAGGTTCGTACTATTTGCTTCAGTCATGTTGTTCTGTCTCATTAGCGATATTATGCTGTCCAATGTCGTTGCGTTCTGATACCCTCGCTTGAATAGCAACGCTCGAGGCGACTCCGTTTCGGAAAAGATATTTCCATATTGTTCATGCATTTTGTTGACGTGGGTTATTTCTGCGATATCCTGAAAGGTAATTAATTAAATGAATTAATTTTCGGTTACGATAAATTCATTATTTAAAAAGGATCACATCAAGTAGGTACTTAAACCTTCCATAAGAATCGCTGCTAATAAAAAGCAAAAAAAAATCAGATGATGATTTGATTATACAGCAAACATAGATAATATGGAACTTTGTTTCAAATTATGTTCATTACAAAGATACTTATTATGACTTACTTTGAAGAAGGGTAATCCGTAAGTGGCCCAGTAGCCCTGTTCCAAGAAAGCGTCAGACAGGTCGGCGGAGTGTGTACGCCCTGGAACCTGTTCAACCAGTGCTAGCAGACCTTTTGAGTGACCATTGTTGTTTCGGTATACTATGATGTGCCTGACGTCCCTGGAAAAGACAGCAAAGGACCGTTAATACCTGACGAATAGCAGTTTTAAATATTAAGTAAGAGTTTAACAAAAAAGACATCCGTTGAAGGTTAATTCTCCAATAGCACCAGTCAGCAATGTGTTTCAATAAGTTCAAAGAAAAATGTTTGAGAGTATTATACAGAATATTTTTAAAACTTACTTGTCTACAGTGCTTTCAGTGACGACCTCATTGCGGACAGGCTTAGTGATTACAGGGCGTGGCGCCAGCGCATGCAAATGGTCGAATCTGTTGAAGTCTACAATGAGCCACTGTTTGCTAGCTGTTCCTGAGTTACTGGTAGCCAGAATATGACCCCAAGTGCTCACGTTCGTCGCCAGATGATTAGCTGCTGATACTCTTGGACCCAAAGGTAACTGAAAAATGTATTACTTCATTAGAAAATGCCAATAGTTACCACAGAAGCTAATAAACTTTTTCCTCCCGGAGGATCTGGAAGTCATTGGGCTCGATCTATTCAGAGTGAACATCTTGTACCTAGCTGATATGATGATGATGATGATAATGGCGATGGTGATGATGATAATGATGTTGATGAATAGATTTTTCGTGTCGAGGTAGGTACTAGAATAAGAGATAAAATGTCAATAAACTTACTAGGTAGGTAGGTACACTCGATAGGTACCTATCACCCTGATATCTTACATATTACTATGGACTCCTGTTCTAATTACCTATTCAACTATGCAAACAATAGTGTTAAAATTTGAAGTGTACTTTTCTATGTATTAGGTGCCAATTTTGTCTGCCATGAACAAAACGTACTTTTACAAATAACAAAACACCGTGCGTGTGCAGTATGCCTTACTTAAATCGTGATTGTCGTCAATGAAGACGGGTTCGCGTGTAATAGAGAACACGTTATTCATCTCAGTTTAATAGCCTTAAGCATGCGCCGTTGCATGTGCCGGCGCCACACAAACAATGCGTGTGCGCACGAGTGTGGACATAACATATCGGATGTAAAGTAAATGTCACAAAGGGTACTCACAAAGAGACCACGTACGATAATAAATTATGACAAACATTTTGTTGGATAATTATACTATTGAGTCGAAAGGTATTTAATATGGTGTTAATTAAGTTGATATTTATCATTGATTTCCACATGTGCGTTAGGTTTTTCTTAGTTGGTGACTCTACTCAACTACCTAAACTGTCTAATTTTAAAAAAGTTCTCAGGTCCCTCTCGAGGTCTATTCTAATCTGCATCAATATCTATCATAATGAGTGTAGAGGTGTTTAATGGAATCGCAACAAACGTACAGAGTATTTACAGCATTAGTAGTAAAAAGATATTACTTTTATTAGATATTACTCACTTGCTCTGTAATATTAACTTCCTTCCACAATTTAGCATTATAGTTCCTTAGAGCAGTTCCAGTGACAGCCAGCCTGTGGTCCTCTCCCCTCACGGTGTAAAACTCATCCTGGCTGGTGATAGAACCTGGGTATCCTGAGAAGTGCACCGATGTTCCGGGAACTAAGTCCGAATCTTTGGCTGTCTTGTGATAATTCAGTTTGTACTTCTTCAGGATTCGAGTCATTGAGGAGTAGCTGGAATTATACGAATGGGTGTTTGAGTAACAAAAATAATTTTGTTGATAAGAAAAAAAGTAATAAAATATGGAGTCGAGAAACTGCCAAGAACCGTTAGTAACGACGAAATTTCATATCAAAAGCCAAGATCTACTATGGATCGCTTAGTTAAAGAAGTAAATAAGGAAAGATAGACATTGCAACAGTAGACGTCTTCTAGCTAACGATGAAGAATATTAAAAGATTAAAGAGAGAATTGGGTACGCTAGTTAATTCCAAAATAATTTAACCTTTGATAGAGTACAATCTACATGCTCCAATGAACCATTTGCAATATTACCTTCCAGCCGCATTTTGCGAGACATAAAGCTTCTTAGTAGGAGTCCCATCATTTGTTTTATCATCAACAACTCTCAAGAAGGCACTGGACAGGTGAGGGATGGCTTCTAAGCCTTCGTCTTCCAATGTGATGTTCATTTTGCGTTGGATTTCTATTGCTTCTGATACGGAGTTTAACCAATATAAGTCAGAGATGTCAGGTTCATGTTCTTTCAAACTGCGGGCAACACCATGCTTCCAACCGGTGAATATACCGCTTATTTGGGTGTAGTATAAAAATACCTGAGATGAGAAAAAAAAAATCATTTTGCTTACTTCCCTAGTCATCATTATTTCTGTTTAACTCTAACTAGTTGTTATTGTGAAGAGCAATCGTCTCAGCTCTTCGCAAATATCGATTCCATGATTAAGATATTATGCGAGGAAATAT